AGGAAAATAATTGCTCCATAAAAATGCAATTCTTGATTGATAGTGCCTATTAGCAACGGTGTTCAATGTATGCAATGTACCCTCATACTCCGCTTCAGTTTTATGCAAATCAGTTCCAATAATCCACCGCGTTTGTAATACAACCATCAAACTTACCCTAGTTAGTTAATCTTTGAAAAGGAACACTTGTGTTCCCTGCGAAATTTTAAAATGAAAGGAATTATCCTAAACTTTGAAAGATCGGGATGTGATTTTAATTCATCATCTATGTAGGGCTCGAACAAGAGTTGAATTTTGAAATGCTACGGAAAAAAAGAGAAAACGTGAAAAGACTGCTTGAAAACATGTAGGTTGGCGGGCTTAATCCAATTGCTTCGTAGCTTGGCCCATCAATTGATCGCAGTGCAAAAGAGGCGGTAACACATTCACTCTCCGTCGTCGTCTCCACAACCCACCTCGGACCTCCCAGACTCATCGTCCGAGCAGCAATGCCACTTCCGGCACACCACCCACACCTACAACCGCATGATCGACATTTTGGGTAACTTGTTCGAATTGGACCTCTCTTGGAGCTTGATTAACTGAATGCGAGACGACCCGCTCTCATTCCCCGACCATGTCACGTTCCGGATCATGTTCAAGTGGTACGTGAGTGCCCATCTGCTCAATGAATCCACCAGTGCACCGTAGGCTCGATAAGTTTGGTCTGAAGGACGAGACGGGTTATTACATTTTCGTCCACGCGTTGTGCGAGTACAAGCATGTGATGGAAGCTCACGACCTCTGTTTCAGGAACGACAAGAAGGCTGATTTAGGTTTTCATCACCAAACCCTTAGACCTAAATATCATAATATTTATTTTTAATTTCGAGAGCCAAACCTAAATATCATAATGATATGTCATGTCGGACGGCTAACGATGACGGGACGGCCACCTTTGCGATTTCTGGGGAAAAGTGGCCTAAAAGATTGAATTGGAATTTTGGAAATAAAGTTCGAACTAAATTGGTAAAATTGAAAAGTTTAGGATCGAATTGGTATCCGTACAATAAGTCCATGACTAATTAGGTAATTTTCCTTGATATATCTACGTACTTGATTAATTGACCAGAAAGATGAACTAATAATGTCCAAGTTGAAGCCTTATTTTCTGCATATTCAGTTGACTGATCGATGAGCTTTAATCATGCACAAAACAATGCTAATTTTCCTAGAAATTTGGATATTCACAAACTAGGTAGACAGATTCTAAGTTCATACGAATGAAACATGAATGGCAGCTAGAGCTGGTCACACCAATCTATACAAAAGAACAAAGAATCAAAAAGGCAATCATGTCAGTAAAGAATCAAAAGAACAATCATGATAACAAACTGTAGTATCACATACATTATACTTAACAATCACATGTACTATGGCACCATCGATCAATTGCACTATTAAATAACATCGACTCTCACGCAAAACTTACAATCATGTTTTAGAGATCATGCTCGTTGTATCCCTATGCACTATAACTTTCTCACAATCTTTTGCAATCTTTCAATACTTTGTAATCTATCAATCATTTATATTATATTCAATCACATTGTTTATATTTGGCATTGTTTAGTTTGATTTATATTTATATTTCTATATACATACCTATTTATATATATATATATATATATATATATATATATTATTGTAAACCTGCACACGTTGCATGTTTTGTAATGTTCGGCAAGTGAATTGTTTTGGATCGTTTTATGTTTTTTTGCCCTCTATTTAGCAACTTCTCTTAATCTCTTAAATAATCTCTTAAATCGGAGATAGCGGACAATGGGTGCTGACCGATGGTATTCAGGGTGGGGTTATTGAGGATGGGGCTGGCTGATGTAATTAATCTCTTAAATAATCTCTTAAATCGGAGATAGCCGGACGATGGATGCTGACCGATGGTATTCAAGGTGGGGATATTGGATGCTGACCGATGGTATTCAAGGTGGGGATATTGAGGATGGGGCTGGCTGATGGTGGCCCGGTGCTGGGAGGCTTGTAACAATCTTTTTTCTAGGATATCCTGAAGGATTCAGCCTAGTTCTAGGCTACCTTCGTAGAGAGAAACTTTAGAGAGAAGTACTAAATATTGTATTGCTTGTGAAATTATACAAGTTAGGAGACGAGACCCCTATTTATACAACTACGCCTTAAACTACAACCGTAGATTGCCATTTTAATCTAATGGTGGAGGTCTAACACTTTATGTACATTTACTGTATTGCCCACACTTAGGAATATCCTAAGGAATATTCTAGGGAAGGGAAAAGTGTCAAAAAAGTCCTAAACCTTTTAATTATGCTAATTTAGTCCTAAACTTTTTGATCTAATGACAATTCAGTCCCTTCGGCTAATTTTGGCTTGATATTGCTGGCATAGACCTTGGCTAGCCTACGTGGCATTGCCGGCGCTGATGTAGATAATTTTTAATAATTTTAATTATTTTTTCTGTTCTTTTTCTATTTTCCTTTCTTCTTCCACCAGAAAAAGAAAGAAGGAAGGAAAAAAGAAAAAAAATCAGAAAAATAATAATAAATATTAAAATATTATTAAAAATTGTCTACGTCAACGGCGGCGATGCCACATAAGCCAACCAGCATCGATGCCACATAAGCCGACCGGCGTCCACTTCAGTAATATCCGGCCAAAATGAGGTGAAAGGATTGAATTGGCACGATGCCAAATGGTTTAAGATTAAATTAGCACAATTAAAAAGTTTAGGATTAAATCGGTACCGATACAATAGGTTTAAGACTTTTTTAACACTTTTTTCCTTACGGGAAATATTCTAGAGTATACAAAAATAATCCAAAAATACCTAGAAGATTTGAGGTCCAACGTCTTCTTGGATCATTCGATGGAAACCTCCGGACCGTGATACCAGGCAATTTAGCCCACATTCAAATCCCGGCAGCGCAACAATTTTTTTTTGTTTAAATAATTTGATCCGGAAAAATCCTTACGTCCTCCCGCCTTCTTCGTAACAGAGCAAAGACTCTCTCTCTTTCTCTCTAAAGTGACTGTTGCATTTGGCCTTCCCCGCGCTCAGGAAAGATCGTCATCACCAAGAAAGCAATTTCGTCCGTGGAATTGAACAGGACATCCGGGGGAGAGGCAAAACCAACGAAGACAATGGAGAGGTGATCGTCCCATTCCGAGTTGAATAATCCAATACTTTCTTCTTCGAAGGTTTCGGAACTGTCTTTCCCTTTTTTCTCATCTCTTTCGTTGTCCCCTCCCTTTTTTTTTTTCCAGGAATCACTCTAAGAAGAACGTCGCCTCTGCAAATTCTGAAGCACGTCCGGAAATGCGGACAAAATTTGAGGGAGGAACAGCCATTGATGAAGAAGACGTGGACGAACTTTCTCAGAAGTTCCAATGCATGGCTTTTCGAACGCCAAAAAGAGGTCGGGGAAAAGGATGGTTCTCTGTTTTTCCAGTTTGCTGCACTTCCTCTCTCATTTTCCCGGAATAAGATCCGCGTTGAATCGCCATCTGGGGTCACTCTTGTTTTTCTTCGAATGAAAGAAAGAACTGTTTGATCCCGTGAAGAAAAAGCATAGTCGAACAAAATCTTTTCCACTTTCTTGGTAAAGCGCAAATCTTCTATCTTTTGACGTTTCGAACGAAATTCTCGAGTACATTTCTTTTCGATTGCAAGCTTTAAATTTCCTAAAGTGACGATGCTTGAATGAGTCGTTCAACGAGTCGTTATGATTGCTCTCCAGAAAAGAACGTTTCCCGGAGGCAAGTGCAGGACACGGAAGAACAGCAAAGGGCAGGGTGGGAACTAGACTTCCTGATCGAAGAACAGCCGGGCCGGTTCTACGACTGCAACAGCCGGGCAATGAACCCGGCCCGGCTAGAGGAGGAAGAACATAACGAGATAACTGTTATCTCCGGGCTCCTTTCTTTTCTCGGGAAACGTAACGTCTCAAGAAGTGATTTTCTAGAAAAGATGATTTATAAATATAAAGATGATCGTTATCTATATATAATTTCGAAAATTGGATCGAGCGGAGTCTTGACTGCTGTTTATAAAGATGATTTTTTTGTAGTTGTTTTTAATTAATCATAAGAAGACGACGTGTCGTTTGGGATCAACCAATCAGGAATTCTAGGAGGCTTTCCTCGGGAGTGGTTTCAGTTGATGGGCCTCAAACGGGCTGCGTTTTTTGGGCTCAAGTCGGGTATGAACCGGAGGCTTATTATGTAATTTGGGCCTATCGTATTCGCGGACCGAAGCAAAATTAACGTGAGCATGAAGGAAGCAAAATCAACCATGGATTCAAAATGTAAACAGTTGCATTCGCTTCAAAGAAAAGCGTCTTCATTTGCGCTAGAAATTTACGGTTAGCCGATATCGAATGCAACGTAATCGAAACTTGCATTTTCTTTCGCAAGAACAGTGGCTCAAACCCTCAAATTACAAATTCAAAGACAACAACTAGCGCTATTCAACTTATGAACTTCGAGTGACGGAACGAAATAATTGAAGAGGCGAGATAATGCAAAGATCGATCCATGAATTAATGTATCGTACGCATTGGGTTAGGTCCATCCCATACCATCAATCCTAAAGTGAAGAATACATATATTCAAATCGAAGTCGAAACAATGTACCAAAACTCACAGCAATGACATCTGTGAAATCAATTCTACAACCTAATGGGTAATTTGATGGCTTTGCATTATAACCATTTTACTGAACGTCAGGATGATGATGAGTTTCTTAGGGACTTTCCAGATAAACTTGAATAAATTGCATTTAGAAGACACAAAAGAGGCGGGATGATGTTTCTGTTCATTCGTGGATCTTGTAGCGGTACGGGTCGATATGAAACAAAGAGAGAGGGATGACAAGCAATTTTCCATTTGATCACTACATCGGAGAGTTTTCTAATAATATAAAAGGCCTGTTGAGAAAACACAACTTTCGGATCTTCCACCTCGACGAGCAATGAGCAAATTGACACAGCCGTTTAAACATAATTCTATTGATTACCGAAGGAAATTACAAGCAGAGATTTCAGACAACAAGCAGAATCAGAGAAATGAACCTCAGACATAAAAAATTGAACACTATTGGATAAATCTTCAACCCAACTTCAACTTCCTACGATACAACACCTCATCTGATGATTTGAAGCAAACTGAAAGACTAGTAAGAACAGAAAGGGGAAGATATGCAAGACGGGCTCCGCAGAACTCCTGCCGGCACTGTTCTCCTTTCATCTATTTATCATAGATAGAAAGACCACTGTCAACTTCAAGTCTGTTCTCCTTTCATCTATTTATCATAGATAGAAAGAGCACTGTCAACTTCGAGTCGCTCTATAATATGTATAAAGGAACATTGTCGCCGAGGACGAAACATCTAGTTGGTTTGAACCGTTCTGGTAGATTGATCCTGAATCAGAAGACATCGGGAGGATAACTCCCAGGGAAAGAGTTGCTTTGCTGGGCCTGTCTCAAATGCATCAACAAGGCATAGTTGTTGACCTGGCAACACAGCAAACACAAAATGTGTGAAAATTCCCACATTATGCTAGAATAAGCCAAGTGATACCTAATAATCATCTAGTAGAGAAGTTCAGGCGACAGACCTCAAGTACTCTTAACTGTTCTTGATACTGAGATACTAACTGCTTCAGATGTTGCAGCTCACGATTCTTGTCCTCATGTTCCTTTTGACGTTCATGTTGAATAGCCACAGCACGTTTGAGAATTGTGTTCTCCCGAAGGACTGCCTCCATTTGCTCCTTCAGCATCATATTTTCCTGAGAAATGAACAGAATCACATGCCAATTTTAAAGTTCCACATATTTACATAATAAAGGATATACTTGCCACAGCGACTAGACCGATCAATGCAGAAGAACAGACATTACTGTGTTTTCGTCGCATCTCCTGGCCCTAATCAGTGCAAGAGGATAAATTATTCTTTCCCTCATTTAAGTTTGATGGTTTAAATTAAAACATGAAAAAGAGTTACAGTCGAAGAGACTAAACACTAATTATTCTTCTAGTTGACCTGTCATTGATTCGAGATACTTTGTACAGAAAGACAAGCCAAACTTCTGATATCTGATACATTTCAGCTTAGAAAGGATAGCAAGGACATTCCACACGAGTGTTGCTCATCCTAAGAGATATTTCTAGGAGGCAGACAAAACAAACACCAAACTAAACAATCATATCTAGAGCCTCACAAGCCCAATTGTGAATGAGTAGTGACGTAAACAAAACTGCTGACAATTACCAAGAAAAACATTACAGATGTAACTTCATAAGCCAATTAAAGTAACCTCAGATAGTCTAAAGGAGCACCACGACATAACAGCATACACTAAAGCACAGTATTTCAAAAACCATTTACAAATTGACAAGTACCTTCTGGAGACTCTTAGCAGCCTCTGCCCCAGCTTGTCCACTGACGGACTGTTCAAAAAACTCAAGCACTCTTGTGGCACGCGCTCTGGCATCTTCTAAGCTAGTGGCGCTCATCATTTCTTTCACAAATACATCCACCCACCCTGCACCATCAACTGGAAGGTTGGCTGATGGCTCACCAGGTGCATCGACATCATCTCTGTCACCTGTCAATGGAACTTCAATGTTATTGGACCAATAAAGGAAACACGTGAAGAATAAATCCCGGCAAGAATTCCAGCTGAATAAGTTACATGAAATTCCAGCCCTTAAAAAAAGAGATGGTCGATTCATATCCTCTGCGTAGTTAAAACAACAACCATTATGAATACCCACAAAGATTTCAACCTATAACACCTGTTTTATTCACTATAATTGACGAGGATCAAAATCTCCCTGCCTAGGAGAAGGGCGTAATTGCAGATGACGGTCGAATCCATCTGTTTCCCATTTCCTCTTCGGTTGACTAGTTACGAAAAACAGGTTTTAAGTTTGCACGAACTGAAAGCACATAAGAAAAACCATTTACCTTGGTCGGCATTAACACCGGGCTCTTCAGAAAATCCTCCATTATCCACGGCAGGACCCAAACAAAGCTCCTGCAGCCTACCAATGGCAACCTCTAGATCATCCCCGCATTCTACCAACGCTCTCTCAAGAATCTGAAAACAAAACCCATCGAGAATATAAGGCACTGCAGGTCCCAAAAACGTGTGAATTGTTAAGCCTAGAGCTTGCCAAAAGAACCAGACAGAACTATTAAACTGCGTTTAAAGAACACGAATCAGCAGTTACGTCCTTGCTCGCACTAAATGCCAATCACAGACTGCCCCCAAAGTAGAAGAAAAAACGAACCAGAAAACGCTCACTAGTTAGCTTCAGAGTCTACACAACGTCGTTTCATATGCTTTCTCTGGATTCTAAAGGCGAACAAGCAAACGTAAAGAGAAACCGATAACGAAAGACACGGTTTCCTACGAATTTCAACCACCTGGGGTTCCATGTGAGGAAAGAGGTGGAGGAGCCGATCGAGGTGAGCCGCCGCCGGCGCCGAGAACCGGACCGGGGACGGAGAAGAAGAGGACGGGGAGCAGCGGCGGATCTTCTTGCGAGAAGGAGGCGAGGGGGGAGAAGGTATGTCGTCGAACAGCGATCGCTTGCTCCCGCAAACTACCGCAGACATTATTGCGCCGCCGCCGCCGCCGCCGATCGCCTCGGTGCTCCGATCTTGCGCGAATCCCCTCCGTCACCCCCACCACCGCCGACTGTTACTTCGACTGTTCACAGTTCGGATTCGAATCGAAGTCGAAGACGAAGACGAAGACGACTCGGATTAGGGATTGAAATTAGGGTTTTCTCGAGAGGGATCCTTCGCTTGGCTTCGAGCCGGCCGGGTCTTCTTCGCCGTTCGGTGCGAGTTTGGGGGTTTCGGGAACGAAGGGGAGCGGTTCGATCGCGAGAGCGAGGGGGGTTTATATAGCGAGCGGTGGTGGGGGGCGGGGGAGGGCGAGTTTTCTTAACGAGGGAGGGAGGCGCGTGGGGCGCGATTGGTCGGCGTGGCGATGATGATGCGGATGGGGGGTATGACGTGGCATCCCGGCTGGATCACCCGTCGGGATTTTTTTTTTTGGGAGGGTAAGGCGGCATTTGGCAATTTGCCAAATAGTGATAATTTCTGTTCTTTTATTCCCAAAATCAATTTGGGAATAGAAATCCGTTTGTTAAAATTTTTGTGCACGGGCACAAATTTGCAAAAAATTGTTCCCAGAATTAGTTTTGGAAAAGAATCAAGAAGATACTGGAATAATTTTTCTATTTTTGATTCTTCTTGGTTTTCTTCTTCCTTTTTTATTTGTTCTTCATCTTCTTCCCGGTCTGCCGCCGGCCCTCCGCCTCCCTGCCGCAGGCCACCGGCGACCGGCCAGCGCCGACGAGGGCGGCCCTCACCGCCCCTAGTGACGGCCTCGCCTTGGCCAGGCGAGGCTCGACCTCACCGTCATCTGGCGAGGTTGACCTCACCAGCCCTGGCCTGTGGCCGGTCGCCGACGCCAGCGACCGGCCATGGCCAAGGAAAGGAAGGAAAAAAAAAAGAAAAAAAAAAAGAAACGAAATACAATTTAATTCAGGAATGAAATACAATTTAATTTAGGGTAAGGTTAGTTAATATAGACGATTTGGAAAACATTTTCCTAAAAAATGATCGTTTAGCTATTTCGTTTACAAATATGAATGGATGAAAAATATTTTTATTATCTACGAAAATATATAGGTATAAATTATTGTTAATATTGAGAATATTTTTTTATTTGCTAGTTATTCCAAGGGATAAAATCAATCTTTTTTAAGAAAATATTTTTTAAAGCGTGTATTTTTTATGAGACAAACCGACCGTTATAGAAAAAGGAAAGAAAATACAAGTTTTGTTCTATTGATCACTCCTGTCCCAAATATATCAATGATGAAGACTGATTTGCAATATTGATTTTATAGAACTAGATGATAGGTTTTTTTGTGAGGTGATTAAATATGAATCCATAACCCGAATACCTAATTGTAATTTGTAACATCTCGTACTAGATAATTGTTGTATCTCTCGAGATTAATCACATTGGGCACTCATTCATATTTCACGATCGCGAGGTTTTCATGAACCGAGGACCGTGCATTATCGACAAAGGCTCGTCCAAACCCTAATCAAGCTTTCGGAACATTCCTAGGGACAGGCGATACGGTAATTGTGCCGTGTTCTAAAGAGCTCTCAATATAAATGCCGGTAGTTGGTGGATGAGAAGGTGCGATCTTGGTCACTAGATCAATAGTCGATCAACGATTCTAATCTGAGTCTCTCTATTATATAAAAGGGTGTCCTCCTTCTCATTTTGATCATCCAAATCAATAGAAATGTTTCCATTCTCTCCAAAAGCTTCTTTCCCTCCAATTGAGGAGAAAGAGCACGGGGCAACCTTCGAGAGGCATCCTTATTGCTAGACTTTATACTCCTTTTCTCATATAAGGGATCTCGCTAACCTCACCTTCGTGAAACTCACTTTTAAGGAAGTAGATGAGCTATCACCCGTGCAAGCATCAAAATATGCATTCTCGTGATTTATAGAGTCCTTATACCTTGCTCTTGAAAAAGAATAATAAAATCAAGCAACCTTCTTATATAACAGGCATTTCATTCTTTACTTTCCCAGCACTGACTAACCTCTTTGGTCGGATGTTACAGTCTACTCCTCTTTAGAATATTTTTTTTTGGCCAGTTACTTCAAGCGATATAATTAATCTTTTTATAGGAAAATATTTTTCAAAAGGTGTATTTTCCATGAGAAAAATGGACCGTTATAGAAAAAGGAAGAAAATACAAGTTTTATACAAGTTTAGTTCTATTGATAAGACATATCCCCAAATATATCGATATGAAAACCGATTTGCAATATTGATTTTATAGAACTACATGATAGGTTTTTTGCAAGGTGATTAAATATGAATCCATAACCTTAATACCTAATTGTAATTTTTAACATCTCGTACTAAATAACTTTTGTATCTCTCAAGATTAATCACATTGGGCACTCATTCACGTGTCACGGTCGCGAAGTTTTCATGCGCCAAGCGCCGTACATTATCGACAAAAGCTCGTCCAAACCCTAATGGAGTTTCCGAAACATTTTCAGGGATAGGTAATACGGTAATTGTATTGTGTTCTAGAGAGTGCTCGGCATAAATGCCGGTGGTTGGTGGACGGGAAGGTGCGATCTCGATCACTAGATCAATAATCAATCAACAACTGTAATCTGAGTCCTCCATTATATAAAGGAGTGTCTTTCTTCTCATTTTGATCATCCAAATCAATAGAAGCAATTACATTCTTTCTAAAAGCTTCTCTCTAAATCCTCTCACTACAATAGGCATGCAGATCCTCTCACTAGGATCCGGGTGGTTCCAAAACAACGACCGATGACACATGCCTCTTAATAGCACTGTAGCTATGAAAGAGTGAAATCTTTTGACCAAGACCAACAACTCAATATCCAGCGGTGCAGATTGAAAAATTGATCTTTTGGAATCACCGCCCTCATTTGTCGGGAGAGCAATATCACATGTGCTCGCATCATGCCTCAAGATTGATTCGATCCTAGCTAGAAATTTATCGGGCGACAAAGAAATTTGGAGAAAAATCAACGAAAAGCGTAGGAAATAGAAGTAAAATAAAATGAATTTTTGCTGTGTTTTTTCACTTTAAAAAAAAAATTCTAACAAGTTTTCCGTGGGCGATCTTTTTGGACCATTTTATTTGGGCTTTGAGAAAGAACGTGGCCAAATGTCATGAAACTCTGTTTATGCATACTCTCATCATAGATTGCTGAAGCTCAGTTGCATAGAGGAAAGATTCTGGACATACTAATTCAATCTATTCTCAACCATAGAAGCGAGTGGCGGCAAATGAGGCCATGGGCTGGTTTCGCCCTCTACGGCTCTCGAGTTTCACGTCCTAGCCATTTCACCAGGTATATGCACGCGAGCAAGAGGAAATTCCGACCGGGTTTTGTACAGAGCATGAACAAGAAATTTTCTACACAAAGATGTCACAAATGTCACCAGATGTCAATCTAATGTTGGGCATTAGCTCTTCAATGCAGTTGGCTAAAAGCACGGTAAAGTTTGGTCTCCTCTGATCATTGAAACAATTGACCTACTCCAATCCTTATTGGATGGGCATCAAGAAGTATCTTATATACTATTATGAGGACACAGGCTCGACGCCGCTACTAGACAATGAAGTCAGTGCAGAGCGGGCTACATTATTTTGCCTTTAGGGTGTTCTTTGTCGGAGGAAGTAACCGGCGGTGTTGAATAACGAACAAATGCTTCATCAGGTGCAACCCATGTATCATTCCCAAAGCGGATCCTCTTCACTTCCTGATCATGAGGTATTTGAGGAAGAAAATTGTCTTTCTACTTAAAAGTCGTCTCATCGGTTCAGCAAAACGAAAAGTATCTGCTCCATGTACTCGATTAAATTCAACAATATATATCAATCCAAATCTAGGAGGAATATGTAGCATATAGAGTTACCTAAGATGAATTCATCTTTTTTTTCTGTGTTGGCACTAGAATTTTAGCAAATGTGTGAGGACCTCTAGGCTCTTAAGCATCACATTCGTAGCCCATTCCGGAAGGTAATTCTAGAAGCATGCGTCTAAAACAATACTTCAATAACAGAGCAAGATGACAGTGCTTAGTACGCCAAAAGCATGAAAATCACAATGAAAGCCATGTCTGCTTTGCTACATCAAACAACTCTGATGCATCGGCAATGTCGAGTTCATTGTAGGTGGTTCTGTCATAGACATCTTAGGTTGTTCTGGATGACAAAGTTTAACTTAAAATGAGAGGATATTACCTGTCAAAATCATCTTTCAATGGTGGGGCTCCACAAGAACAAACAGCGGCTTCTCTTTCAGCTCGCATTCTCCCTGCAAAACACGCAATCAACCAATGGAAACCATATGGAACCAAAGGAAGGACAAGAGGTCCATATCTCCAGAATTGCACTCTTCGCTCACGTGTATCATAGCACTAGGATTCACAGCAAAAGCATCAAATTGACTGCGAGTAGTTTATCTGATCAGTAGAAAAAACTCAAGCTACCACTTGTTTGTGACTACTTTATCCGTTACAGCTGAGCTTAAAAGCATTTTTCAAGTCAACAGAGAGCGCAGACACCATTAACCAACAGAGGACCCCATAAACCTCATGAACGAAACTTCTGCACAGCAGAGCTGATCAGCAGTTATAACTTGATCTTATACAAAATAACACAATATATACTTGAAACGACACTGGTACGACAATAAAAGCCTGCTATCGAGAAAAAGTTGTGCATTTCAACGTTGAGTTAGGGAAGATATGCATGGTTAGAAAGTCAACATGAATGATCATACAATTCCATTTCTACAGTAGATAGAGAAAGATGAACGAGAAGAGAAATGCATGCATGAAAACTGGACAATGCGAGCAGCAAAATCCATCAATGAGTTGCAAAATTGAACTCATGGATAAGATATTACCAAACTGCTTTATTTGAGGATTACCTGGACAACAGGGGAACCAACGACACAAGCACACTCAACCACTTCAGCCTGAAAACGTTCTGGTCAGCAGGAGGACCAATTCAAATTTAGAGAAGGGAAAATTGGAACAAGAAATTGGAAAACTGTAAGTTTATAGTAAAGAAAAAGGTGAAACAAAGCAAGAACCCGAGAGTTCAACTGACCCAGAAGTCTTATTGCAGCGGAAAGGGTCCCGCCAGTGGCTACCAAATCGTCTATGATTATAGTACGTTCCCCTGGCTGAACAGCTCCGACATGCATCTCGAGTTGATCAGTGCCATATTCGAGTTCATACGATTCAGATATGACTCTTCCTAATGTTCAATCAAATATAGGAAGCTTCAATTGGAATTTCACTAATAATACTGCGTTAAGGACCAGCTAGTAGTAACTACAATTCAAGACTATCAGGAACTCCAAAAAAAGAAGGCAGGAAGGAGGCCGTCCCACTTGCTACATGCAACTCTAAGACAGTGCCAAACACGGTTCTCAACATAAAAATCCTAAAACCCCGGAGGCGCCAAGTCTTCTGCTTTATGATAAGCAGATGACATGGACCAGATGCTTCAACCAACTCAATAATCAACCCCGCGTCAAGCACTTGAACAGAAGTATACCCATCAAAGTGCTAACTGCTTCACTGATTTTACCCTTTAACCTGTTGGATTGTCCAAGAATTCTTTCTCATCAATGTATTGACATTACCACAAACAGAGTGTTAACAAGCACGAGATCTCTGCTGAACAAGATAATAGTCAATTCACCAACTAGACTGTTGTCACTTGTTTTAAAAATCATTAAATTAGTAATTCCAGGAACTCCATGAAAGTGTACCTGGCAGCTTCCCTGGTTTCCGGAGAGGGACAAATTTGGCACCAATACCCAAAGCAATAGATGGCCCAAATATGAATCCCCTGGCTTCAATGCCTATGACATTACTCGACATCGGATATAGTAAGAAAGAGAAACAGAACTCTGATATAGCATACTTCTGTTCAAGAGAAACAGAACTCTGATTTGCTAGAACTACCAGAACCACCAATCACAGTGAGACAGTATCCAATCCATCCCCTTTTAACAAAAAAAATGCATTCATTTTTTAAGAATGTGATTTAAGAAATGACTTTCTACACTTGCCAAAAGCAGATAAGCAATTTATATGAACTCGAGCAAATCCCCGGCCTGGTCTACTATGCAAATTTGGGATACTACTTTAGCTTCAATTAGCAAACCCCACTTCATTGCTTCACTTCAAACTTAGTCAGGAGAGCAGAGAAAGGCAAATTGACCTAGATATAAGTGAAACTCCATGTAATTTGATAGGTGCCAAACATTGAAATGACGAGACAAGATGTTATGCTATACAATAATCATCATATGATAGACAGAAATGATAATCGTCACGTGGACGACAATTCTGTTGAAAATTACCAAAAATGCCTTTAAGCTAATAATCTTTTCCGATACACAAGATCTGTAACAGCACTTAATGAGATGCAAACTTCGAAAATTCGGACTTGTTGGCAGAGTGAGATACTATATAGTACATTGCAAAGAAAGAATCAGAGTTGTGGACTTATTTTAAACAAGCCCTCAGTCGAGTGTGGATGTTCCAATGAGACAATTGGCGGGGCAGCTCAAAACCAAATCTGCGTGCATTTGGTAACCAAAATTGTATTTTTTTTTTTTCTCTTTCTTTTGCGGTGAAAACAGAAAACTGATCAAGAAAAGCATTCGGCAGCCCACCTTTCTTTCAAGTTTTCTAATAACTGAAACAGATTCCATAAAAAATAGACTAGACAAACGACGAAAATGATGTTTTCCCTTGTTTTCAAATTGAAATAAGAGACAAACTGAAGTTTATGAACGGTTCATCATGTTTTGCAGATTCTAAATCATACTGAAGAATTTAAGATAAACAAAATGGAAGAAGAAAACGTTGTACAAATTGGAAATAACATACCAAACACATTTTTCTGAGAAAACTGACAAAGTGAAAATCAAATAGTTTCCTGAAAGTCTATTGAAACAAAAACAGAATACATTGTCCAGAACGACATGCACCCTCGATGTCCTAAGTGGAAGTAAAAAATACACAAGTCTCGTCCAACAATGATTTCAATGCTTCAAAAGACAGTAAAAGGAGAAAGAAAAACCAAGGAACAGTTAATAAAAAAATGAAAAACCAGTTGCTCTGCAATTCATTAGCTCGTGGTTTTGGGGGTCACAATAAAGAAGCAAACATTTAATAAAGAAATTCAACAAAACGAGGATAAGAACTCGCCTTACCAACCGATTGCTTTCCAATGTGACATGCTTTTAGAGAAAAATAAATATTATGCAGTGGCCCTTCCAATGTTCAGACGAGCACCACATTTCAACTTTTCCCACAAGAAAAGTAATACAAAAAGCCACAAGTTGTCTTTCATCATTAATAATCTAGTGATAGAATATGGACAGCGTCATAATACCACAATCAGAAGAGGATATAACAAAGTCTTTAAAACGATAAAAATTGGAAAAATCATGAGATACAGAGAGAGGGTACCAGCAACAATGGAGATGCCCATGTCTCTATACCGCTCCACAAACAGGTCAACCGTGTCTTTGAAGGCCTTGTGATCGAGCAACAGGGTGGTTATGTCGTGGAACATTATGCCTTTGAAGCGCCAGCAAGAAACACACAACACAGCCGCCGTTATAGCTCCAAGAAGATGATGAACGAGGGAGACAAAGAACGGGCAAAGAAACTAACCTGGTTTTGGGAAGTGAGGAACGACCCTTATGGTGTCTGAGATGGCCTTCAATCTCGGGTCTCTTCCATCCTCTGCCGCCAGCATCTTCTTCTTCTCCTTCGCTCTCTGTTTCACTCTCTCTGTGCGAGTGGATGGAGAGAGAGAGAGAGAGAGAGAAGGAGAGATAGAGAGAGAAAGTGTGCGTGCGTCAGCACTGGCCTCTGAGAGAGAGACAGAGAGAGGGGGTGTGTCAGCACAGGCAAAGGCGTCCCCTCAAACCTGAAGGAGATCCAAATCGATGTCAATATTTATAGAATATATCGAGCATATTAAGGCCGCTTTCATGGCTCCAATAAGTACTCCAATTTTTATTTTAAAAAAGAATTAATGTATTTATAGCTTCATAAAATTTAAATTATATCGTTTGATAACTTTAATTAGCTCTGGCTTAAATGATTGAAGTTGGTCCCAAAAATCACTTAATTCGACAAGTAAGGATGAGATTACTTAAAATAAATATATTCAAATGTAATATAAAATTAAGCCTATTGCATTAGAAGAACTTGAAACCTACCAATAATATTCATCAAATTCCATATTTATCGAAAGAAATTATCTAACGCTCGAAATTCAACTCTTACCAGACAGCATTTGTTAATTTTTTCAACATTTAAAATAATCAACACTCGAAACTCAGTGCATATAATTTCAGCACTTAATTATCAATTTATAAAATTATTAATAATCAAATAGAATTTTCTTGATAACTTGCTTATTTAAAAGCTCGTTTATAGTTAGTCCCGTAGCTTAATATTTTTTAGTCGCATAGCTTAATATTTTTTACTAATCCAAATATTCTTAGCATTAATGTTTTTTTTTTATAATTTAAAGCGCGCTTTTCTTTATTTCGGTCATTTTGATAATTTTGATATTAAGCATGCATTTAAAATTGACATAAAATGGCCCAATTCCGCGATATGTATGTGTGAGAAAGACAGAGCGAGGGAGATGGAGAGTGTTGAGGCTGCGGAGATTCATGGAAAAGGACGATTAGCTCTATGATAACCCTCAATGGCAACGGGTTTGTCCCGTGTAGAGAGAGCGCTAGCAGCCGCGGTGGCAAGGCACATAGAGCGGCATGGCGGTCGAACTCAAGTGGGTGGGTGGTGTTTTTTGGGTGGTTGCAAATTAGGGTGGGTTTGTTGTTGGGTGCGAGAAAATCGGCACAGATATAATGGAAAAGGAAAATCATAAAATTGCGAACCAACGCATAATGCTCTTGTGACAAAAGTGCAAAACATGTATTTTAGATAATAAAGACGGGTGAAAAATAAAGTATGTTTTTTTATATTTTCTCTTTTTTTAACTCTAATATTTTATTTTACTACACGTTACGTTGGACTAAACTAAAGTAGTTTTACCCTTTATGTAATAGTTTTGGTTCATGTTAATAATTATCTATATTTTCTATATTACATTATACATTAATACAATCGATTACAATGCTTAAATTTCTTTTTCTATTCCCGATATATTCTTTCACATGTGGTGTTAGGCTGCGCATGACAACTTACCAAACAGTGTTTGATTCTGTTCTTTTGTTCCCAGAATCAGTTTGGGAACAGAAATGCGTTTGTTTAATTTTTTGATTCTTGGCACAATTTTATCAAAAATTGTTCCCAGAATTAGTTTTGGAGCAGAATCAAGAATAAAAAAAAAGTAGTTTCTTGATTATGGGAACAATTTTGAGAATCAATTTTTTTTTCTTCTTCCTTTTCTTGATTTTTAATTTAGCTTCTAATATCCGGCCCGAGGACCGCCCTCGCCGGATCTGACGAGAATAAAATATTTTAATAAAAAATATTATTAATAAAAAATATTTTATCGGCCATGGCCGGCAACCAGGCCATGGCCATAAAAAAGAAAAATATATATTTTTAATAAAAATATTTTAATAAAAAATATTATTAATAAAAAAAATATTTTACCTGCCATGGCCGGTGACCAGGCCATGGCAAAAAAAGAAAAAATATATATTTTTAATAAAAATATTTTAATAAAAAATATTATTAATAAAAAAAATATTTTACCGGCCATGGCCAGCACCAGGCCATGGCCAAAAAAAATAAAAATGTATATTTTTAATAAAAAAATTTAATAAAAAAAATATTTTACAGGCCATGGCCAAAAAAATGAAAAATATATATTTTTAATAAAAATATTTTAATAAAAAAAATATTTTACCAGCCATGGCCCGTCGCCGGCCATGGCCAAAAAAAATATATTTTTTTTTAATAAAAATATTATTAATAAAAAAATTATTTTACCGGTCATGGCCGGCGACCAGGCCATGGCCAAAAAAAAGAAAAAATACTTTTAACAAAAATATTATTAATAATAAAATATTTTACCGGTCATGGCATGGCGAAAGCAGGCTATGGCCAAGAAGGAGGAAAAGAAAAAAAGAAAAGAAAAAAAAGAAAGAAATATTAAAATATTTAAAAATATTATTAATAAAAAGAAATTTTGTGACATTACCAAACGCATTTCTGTTCTTTTTCTATTCCAGGGATGGAATTTTGGGCCGTTAATAAACGCCTTAAAATGCTCAGAATCAATTCCGGGCACAGAATAAAAAAGAATCATTTCTGAGCAGAATCTGTTTCCGAGCACAGAATCGTTGTCATGCGCAGCCAAGTTGGATCTACTGCAAATGACAAAACCAAATTTTCTCTCTATATTATTGTACATTATATGTATTTAATGTCCAACATTGTATTTTATAAAGAAAAAGACTTATTCCATTTGATTTAGTATATCTTTTAATGTCTAAAAGTGTATTTACGATAACTTTAGGCAATGCAGGTGCTACGTGCGCGCAAAGCATAAAAAAAAGTTAGTTGTGCGTTCGTTTAGCAAAAAATGAGTTATTTAGAAAATATTTTCTGCAAAATGATCGTACATATCGTTTAGAAAAATAAATGAATGAAATTTTTTTTCGTCATCCACGAAAATAGTTAGGCATATATTATTATCGATGATGAAAATATTTTCCATTGTCTAATTTTTATAAACGATATAAGTAATTATTTTTCGAAAAATGTTTTCCAAATTACTTATTTTCCGCTAAACGAACGCACCAATAAAAAAGATGAAGGGAGTGATTTCTCAATCCAAGTCGCCAACAATTTACTTTTTTATACTCGATAGGTTGGTTAGCAAATTTAAAACTCATTGGGAAAAAACCACCAAAAATCCCAAACTTTGCCATCTGTGACACATTTACCCCGAACTTTTTTTTGTGACACATTTACCCCAATGTATTTAGTCCATGGGCATTTTCGTCTTTTTGCTTTTTTTTTTTTTTTCCCTTCCGGCGAGGGGGCCTCGCGCGCGCCGGCGAGGTCGCCCTCACCGGGATCCGGCGAGGGGGCCTCGCCGGCGCCGAGCGAGGGCGGCCTCGCCGGCGTCGAGCGAGGCGGCCCTCGCCGCGCCGAGCGAGGGCGGCCCTCGCCGGCGAGCGAGGGCGGCCCTCGCGGCGGCGTCGGCGAGGTTCGCCCTCGCCGGGCGAGCGAGGGCGGCCCTCGCCCGACGCCGGCGAGGTCGACCCTCGCCGGCGCCGGGCGAGGGTCGACCTCGCTGAGCCTGGGCGAGGGCCGCCCTCGCTCGCCCGGGCGAGGCGACCTCTCGCCGGCGTCGGCGAGATTCGCCCTCGCCGGGCGAGCGAGGCGGCCCTCGCCGACTCAGGCGAGGTCGACCCTCGCCCGACGCCGGCGAGGGTCGACCCTCGCCTGAGTCGGGCGAGGGCCGCCCTCGCCGGATCTGGCGAGGGCCGCCCTCGCTCGACGCCGGCGAGGGCCGCCCTTGCTCGACGCCGGCGAGGGCAGCCCTCGCCCGACGCCGGCGAGGCCCCCCCTCGCCGGAAAGGAAAAAAAAGAAAAAAAAAAAGAAAAAGCAAAAAAGACGAAAATGCCCATGGACTAAATACATTAGGGTAAATGTGTCACAAAAAGCAAAGTTCGGGGTTTTTGGTGTCACAAAAAAAAGTTCGGGGTAAATGTGTCACAGATGGCAAAGTTTGGAGTTTTTGGTGGTTTTTTCCCAAACTCATCAGAGCATAATTTTCACTTATATTTTTCAAAATTGCTATTCATTTTTCCCTCTATCTCCTATTTTTTTCTCAACCTAAAGTAGTGTTTGTATAATTTAACCGAGATCTTTGGTTTTAAGCGTGACCCGCGAGATGGTAAAAATCAATATTTAGCTATATATGCGAGGGTATAACTGCGAATTCGGGGTGGATGCCAACATTCGAAAGTTTGCTTTATATATCTTGTCGTGGCGTCTTGCCAATACGTCCAAATGTCAAAAGCAAAAGATGCAAAAGGATTCTTATCATCATTATTATCGTCGCATGCCCGTCTTCACGAGGGCACTAGCCTATCACGTAAGGTCATTTTAATCGTGATTTGATTCGAGATATTTCGTGACTTGCACACTTGATTTCGACGTGGACAATGTCCTAAATTAGCAAAGAGAATATATCGATGCCTTGGCCTTTATTATGAAAATTACATACATAGTACCCGCCTAGGGTTTGAAGCAAAACCTTTCACATTAGTGGAAAGTTGGAAACGAAGATAAGGTCTTGCGATGTCTATCTCTTAAGCATGACATATATCTATACACAGACTGACAGCTTTCGCATTCGATGTCGCAATGACCTCTCCCTTGTCGACCTTCTGTTAATAAAAATGAGTATAATATAGATATCATCGCAAGTGATCAGACGGGTCAATCATAAGATATTTACTTCATAAGTCTTTGAAACACATCCCGCTCATCCGTCATATTTCCCGTGTACAAAGCGCATGTGGTGTCACCGAGCACATTCGGGTCTTTCTCAATTACAAAATTCCCATGTGAGGTTATTACGGAGATAGTAAAATGGGGAGCGATGTGATATCATGTCGGCGTGACCGAATGACTTTGGTATTTGGTCTCTCTCTTCCACGGCGTATAAGTTCAAGTATAATGGAAAAGTCGAGTAATATGTTGAGATAAGCATACTCGTAATCACGTATGGTAGGAAGAAACTAGAATGTAATATACTAGGATAATACCCGTGTGATGTATAATGCATATATTTGTATATATCTGTAAATTATGGATTAGGGAAGGAAGCCATCACAAAAAAAATAATAATAATAATTCCGTTGGTACTTTCAATACTAAAGAAAGATATAGTGTGTTTAGGGTAACAACATTCGTCTCTTTTCGTATTTAAAATTCGAGTTCTCAAGCTAAGACGCATATCATTTTGTTTTGCCTTCTCTATTTATTTTAAATCTTTTTTCAAGATGATCTTTAAGGACTTAACAACTTCAATCATTGTCACGCATCTGATAATATTTTGCATGCCTTGAAGGATTCGATCGTGTGCGTGCGATTTCACTTTTCGTTCGATCATTTTCAAACATCCGATAACATTTCCGGGGGCTTTGAAGGATTTGAACGTGTAAGCATGATTTCAATTTCCGTGCATTTACCTCTTTAATTCCAATACATTTTGCAATATTAATAAAGAAAATAAAGTTCTAATGCATTCTCTTCTATCTCGAGAGGGTATTATGTAGGCTAATTTCTAAAAAGAAAATGTACGAAAATTATATGCCAATAAGATAGTGAATTAGTACAAGTGAGATCGACCGCTCATTGAGGGAAAATTGGACATGAAACATTCGTTGCAAATATGTAACATGATATAATAAATTATTATTTCTTCATTATATTATCATGATTAGAATTTGATTGGTTGATGGTATAGGTTATACATGGAAATTTTGTCTCTCTTTTGTTATAGTACTAAAATTATAAGAAATTGACTATTAACTATAAGTTAATAATTGCATTACAACATAAAGTTAATGACGGTGATGTAATATCCTTAGCCAAAATATTTTGAATATGTTATGGTAGTTACTATGCTTAATGTTATGCAAATATTGTTATTATGTAATATTTAACAATAACGTTTGTACATTACCTTAGCTAAAATATTATTATTGTATTATCTTATTAAATTATGATGATGGTTAATATTTGATTAGGGATGCATAGTATGGAGAATGTAGGAAAATTTATGTCTTATCTTTTATTTAGCATTAAATCAATTTCATAAGCATTTGGATCGCAAAGTTTTTATTCCAATTAGAGCTACCATTGGTGAACAGCATTAATTTGGCAAATAACATATTTACATGCAAAAAACTTTGCGAATAATTCTCTTTTTCCAATTAGAATGTTTCATGAACGTAAATGGTTAAATAGTGCAAAAATGGTTCATCGTTTCCATGAATGAAAGGCAAACATGGCCAACGTCCATGTACCTATCATCGAATCAAGCTTTAAGTTTTACGAATCAATGAACCAATCAAGATCGGTCGAAGTTAGCATTGATTTGGCCATGATTAATCAATTCTATATATTTGTACCCTAACGACCTCACTCTCTCGCTTGCAACCTCTGCGAAGGGTACTACTTATCTCGTTAATATGAATCAAACCCAAAACCTCTTAAATCTTATTAAGGGTGAACCGGAAAAACCATTGAGCCAAACCTTATTCCTTTGCCCTGAGGCCTAAGTATGAACCTTATTTTTTGTATTGTAAGTCATATTTAATCAGGCATGATATAACACACAAGTAAAGATATTAATAGTAAGTGATTGAGTCAATTTCACGATGGTCATTCAAATTGGTAATATATGTATCCATCTGGTATGCATTTGATCCTATTTAGCGCTTAATATTAAAATAACTCAATTCTAATGGACCTGTTACACCATGGATTTTAGACGGCATCACTGTTATAATCATACCACTCATGAGTAAACTCGTCCCATTTTTTAACCCATGGATCATAAATGCCTTTAGAATGGCAAAACCTAACATAATACGTATATTAAATGGGTTTATAACTTATTACACCAAATTCACCTCTATGACTCTCTCTTCATTCTCTCTCACCCTCGCTCGATCTCGTGCTCGCTCGCTCGCTCCGCACTCTCACTTCAATTTGGGTATGAATTTTCCTACGTCTTGTTAAACATAGAAGTGTTTTATCAATGTGGGTCGGCTCGATTATGAGTTGGGTTATTAAATTTGCATTGTATGGAAAATAGGTCGAAACAGGCTGAATGAATCTATTTGGGTCGGATTATTATCGACTCGATCCAAATCCGATCGGACCCAGCCGTTTGATTGGTTAATTCCTAAGCAAGACCGAATAAAACGGAAAATGAAAGGGAACAAAAAAAAAAAAAAGAGAGGGGTAAGGTACACAAAAAATCTGGACAGGAGATCATGCGCCATATAATTGGAGGTGGGGCCCACGAAAAGGACGGACAGGATCACTGTTCATGTGCACGCGGGTGGTACTGGCAAGCACCGATGGATCGCCTGATCATTTGATTGGGCCTCCTTTTTCCCCAATTGGGCCCCCCCACCCGCCCTCTTAGCATGCTGCATATCCAATTTTCTTGGATGGCCTTTCCCCTAATTTTCCTATTGTGGTTGTTAATAATAACAACAACAACAACAATAATGCTAGTCATTACAATGGATATGTTTTCAGGATAATTTCCATGTCGATCCATGGGTTCAATCTCAACCATATTTGATGTTACACCAAGATCTTCGCATGTTTGGATAGACATATACTTCTCGCTCGCTATAATCGACATATTATATATTCTGTTAGACCTTGTACTTTCTGTCGCGCTAAATCCAATTGATATCGATGATTTATGGTGACGAAATCTTTGTCGGCGATGCTACGGAAAATAGAACCAGACTCATGTCGATACCCCTAGATAAAAACGTATGAAAACCGTGTCGACCGATTTACTATTAAGTCGACTCATGCGTGTGCCTTCCTTTCAAATTACGGTCTAGAGCTCGAATTGCGTAAGCACATGGCAAGTTCCCAACTCCGACCTCAACTTTAACAATTGAACCGCCTGATTTTCCCTATAATTGTCTTGACCAGTTCGATTCTAAGGTTGAACCGGCTTTTAAACCAATTACTATCATTTGTATTCTAAGAGCCGTGGAAACAAATTCTATACAACTTAATGGATTTTACATTGATAGTAGAATTTGGAATTGGAATCCATTTCAAGATTTACTCGGGAGTGCTCGTGGACCCGTACCAAAATCAAGAAAAGAAGTTGGATTTGTCTCGAACTTGAAAGAATATGAGCAACCGTACGATCGATCCTAATTGCATAAAGTGTTCATGAATCTTGATCTAGTTGATTCAAAATTGCATATGCAAACCTTCCCATGATGCAAAATGACATGATATTGCATTGCATGCACAATGTTAATATGGATGCATGGCAAACTAAAAAGATTATAATTGAAGGGGGATATGAACTTTTCTCCAATCTTGGCTCCCTCAAAGTCAATGAGCACTTTAGAACATTGATGGCTCTTTTTACCTTTTAATCGCCCTTTACATCCGATTCTCTTTACCCTTTTTGCGAGGGACCTGCTAGGGCAATCAAGCTACTGAGTTATAGGTGCAAAGGCTGTATCAATAGGCGACCATTTCGTGAGAAACCAAAAGCACGGAAAGTGAAAGAACATGAGGATTCATGTGGTTCGGTTCGGCGAACTACGTCGACGGAGAGAGACGTTCAAAGCCCATTGCTCAAAACTAAGGGGTGGAAGAAGAGTATTATAGTGCAAAACCTATGTTCCACAAAGTCGATACGCCACAAGAGCTCCTCAAACTATATGTAGATGGACAATGGTCCACATTGCCTGGCCGTGAGGTTACCGATTGACCCGACTCGCTAAATTGGAGCCACCTAAAAAGAAACGACGTGTAATAAAGTACGTAACATGAATCCGCAACCGATTGCCTACAATGTCTTAGAATCAGCTCAGCAATCAGAATGACCCAACTCTTCCCTGATCCTAGTCTCATCTTCCTGATGCTACATCTTCCTGCTTTGGGTGCAATGCTCTCGCAATTCACACTGCAGCTCTTCAATGAACCGAGCTAGAGCCGTACCATCATCATGGGTTGGGTATCTTCCTCTGCAGTCTTTCCTAGCATTCTTCAGCAGCCTTTTGTCGATGGACTTGACACTTCTGTGTGGGCTCTCACTCCCACACTCTCTCTTAGAAATGGACCTCAACCCCCTGGTAGACACGGTTATGGGACCTTTTCGAGACTCTTGTTCGGCTGCGAACTGGTGAAGCCCGCGCTGTATCTTCTCGAATGCGACAAGGAAGGCTGCTGCATCGGTTGGGTCCAGGATTTTCTGGGCCACCAGCTCCAATGTCCTGAACCTGCCAAGCATTGAAATATCACTAATTAACAGCACATTATTAGTCATCATGTCAATAGAATTTGGGGGTTTTTTGAGTGGACTTTCGTGCTTACTCACAATTTCCTAGCACTCGTTGAGTAACTCTCAAAGTAATTGAGATTTTTAGGCTCAGTCTTCTGATTTGAAAAACAGAAACATACATTGTACTTATTCCCGCAAGTTTCCGTGGAATGTGAGTCGAAACCTTACATAGATGGTATCAGAAAGTCGAATGCATTTGACTGCACATTTATTAGCAGTGCAAAACCAGAAGTAGGTTCAAGACCTCACCGAGAAATTATGCGGAATCTTGGTTAAAGGATAATATATCTCAACTAACAAAATAACCAGAACTTCATTGACTAACTAACATGATAAACATTGCTTACTGAAAGTACACAAATTCAAAGTTTTTACCCGAAAACGAAATGAACAGAATATGTGAAGGGTAAGGGGTTAGACCTGAGCTGTTGCGCCTTGTTGATGACCTGCTTGATCTTCTTGAACTCAGAATAAACTGACCTCAATGCGGAAACAGCACCAAGTCCCTTACTTTGCCCAGCAAACGGAAGCCTCAGAACACACGTGGCTTGAATCTCAGCCATTTCCCCATCGATGATCGCCTCCTCGATCTTGACCTCGCGGATCAACTGCATTAAGGTCCGTTCGATCTGACCCGGGTTGGTCACCAGCAGCGAGGAACGTGTCAGCCCATGAAGGAGGCCTAAGATGATGGAGGGCCTCCAATCGCCGAACCAGCCTACGCAGGCCAGCTCGAGGGGTGGAGTTGAATCGGGCACGAGCATTTTGGCCACGTCGCTGAGCCGGGCCGGGTTCATTACCCGGTTGTTGCAGTCATAGAACCGGCCCAGCTGTTCTTCGATTAGGAAGTCTAGTTCCCACCCTGCCCTTGGCTGTTCTTCCATGTCCTGCACTTGCCTCCGGGAAACGTTCTTTTCTGGAGAGCAATCATGTCGACTCGATGAACAACTCATTCAAGCATCGTCACTTTAGGAAATTTAAAGCTTGTAATCGAAAAGAAATGTACCCAAGAATTTCGTTCGAAATGTCAAAAGATAGAAGATTTGCGCTTTACCAAGAAAGTGGAAAAGATTTTGTTCGACTATGCTTTTTCTTCACGGGATCAAACAGTTCTTTCTTTCATTCAAAGAAAAACAAGAATGACCCAAGATGGTGATTGAACGCGGATCTTATTCCGGGAAAATGAGAGAGAAAGTGCAGCAAACTGGAAAAACAGAGAAGCATCCTTTTCCCTAACCTCTTTTTGGCGTTCGAAAAGCCATGCATTGGAACTTCTGAGAAAGTTCGTCCGTGTCTTCTTCATCAATGGCTGTTCCTCCCTCAAACTTTGTCTGCATTTCCGGACGTGCTTCAGAATTTCCAGAGGCGACGTTCTTCTTAGAGTGATTCCTGGAAAAAAAAAAAAGGAGGGGACAGCGAAAGAGATGAGAAAAAGAGGAAAGACAGTTCCGAGACCTTCGAAGAAGAAAGTATTGGATTATTCAACTCGGAATGGGACGATCACCTCTCCATTGCCTTCGTTATTCTTGCCTCTCCCCCGGATCTCCTGCTCAATTCCACAGACGAAATTGCTTTCTTGGTGATGATGATCTTTCCTTAACGCGGGGAAGGCCAAATGCAACAGTCACTTTAAGAGAGAAAGAGAGAGTCTTTGCTCTGTTACGAAGAAGGCGTGAGCACGTAAGGATTTTTCCGGATCATATTAATTAAAATAAAAAAAAATTTTGTTGGGCCGGGATTTCTTTTCATGAATGTGGGCTAAATTGCCTGTTGTCACGGTCCGGAGTTTTCCATCGAATGATCCAAGAAAACGTTGGACCTCAAATCTTCTAGGTATTTTTGGATTGTTTTTGTATACTTTGCAATATTCCCCGTAAGGGAAAAGTGTTAGATTGGTCTTAAACATATTGCATTGGAGCCAATTTACTCCTAAGCTTTTTAAGTGCGACGATTTAATCTTAAACATTTTGGTCTCGTGCCAATTCAATCTTTCCGGCTAATTTTGGCCGGATATTATTGAAGTGGATGTCGGTTGGCTTCTGTGGAGATGCCGGCCAGCTTATGTGGCACCACCGTCGTTAATGTAGGTAATTTTTAATAATATTTTAATTATTATTATTTTAACTTTTTTTCCTTTTTTCTTTCTTTTGCCAATGGAAGAAGAAAGGAAAAAAGAAAAGAAAGAAAAAAGAATAGAAAAAATCATTTAAAATATTAAAATATTATAAAAAAATCGTCAATTTCAACACCGACAGTACCACGTCGGCCAGCTGACGTCCATGTTAACAATATCAGGCCAAAATTAGCTGGAAGGACTGAATTGACACTAGTTCAAAAGGTTTATAATTAAATTAGCACAATTAAAATGTTTTGAATTAAATTAACATCAATACAATAGGTTTAAGATTTTTTTGACACTTTTTCTTTCCCTATAATATTCCTTAGGATATTCCTAAGGGTGGGCAATATGGTAAATGTACATAAAGTGGTAGATCTCCACCATTAGATTGAAATGACAATCTACGAATGTAGTTCAAGCCATAGTTGTATAAATAGGCCCTCCTCTCCTCACTTGTATAATTCACCAGCAATACAATATTCATAACTTCTCTATAAAGTTTCTCGTGAGTGTGGCATGAAAGCTTGAAAGAAGTATAAGAAAGCTTGAAAGAAGATTTATACACCGAGGAGCAAATTATTTAAATAAAAAATATTTGTTGCGCCCGTATTTCTTTGATGGAGGTGGGCTAAACTGCCTGGATTTTTTATGCTGATCAGAAAACTAGGCTCAGGCGCATATAAGTGGTTGATCGAATATAGGTAATTAATAAGTGATCGGGTTGTGATTTGTGCTTGTACCGAGATCCTGGAAGCTCTGGATCCTAGAAGATGGTTACAAGTAGCAGCAGAAGGTGCAATTTCAGCCGATACTAAAAATTGAAAATTTTAATTCCCGTCAACGGATTGAGAACAGAGAATCTGACAGATTTTTGAAGCAAAATGTCCACTCCACACCACACTACAGCCCAGCAGGGCCCCTAGCAGGCCCCAAGCAGCAGCAGGCCCTCCAGATGGCCCCCACCAGCATTGGGCCCCCCACCAGCAGTAGGCCCAGCACTAGGCCCCCAACAGTGGGCCCCCCACCAGCAGACCCAGCAGCAGGCCCCGCCAGCAGCCAGATGGGAAGAAGTTGATCTACAAACAAGAAAAAAGTGAAAGGCATTAATAAACTTATCAATGAATAACCTTTACAAGACTAGTTACATGTACTTCACAATGGTGCATAGGAAATTCGTTCATATCTGTCAGTCACCGTTTCTTGCTCAAATTTCTGCTGCATTTCAAGATGTTCTTCTGTATTTTCAAAGGCCACATTTTTAGAGTGACTCTTGAAAAAAAAGCAAGGGAATTACGAAGGAAATGAGAAATAAAAAAAAATGGATAGTTTCGAAATATTCAAAGAAGTAAATTGTTCTACTCAGAATTGAATGGGACGATTACCCCTTCATTGTCTTCGTTATTTTTCCCTGTCCTCCAGATCTCCTGTTCGATTCTATAGATGAATTGCTTTCTTGTTGACGAACTTTCTTTAACGCAGGAAAGGCCAATGCAACGGTCACTTTAAGAGAGAGGAAGCGCGAAGACTCTTTGCTCTGTTACTAAGAAGGCATGAGCACATAATGATTTTTTTAGAGCAAATTATTTAAAATAAAAAGGGTTAATACATGAAAAACAAAAAAATGGTACACATGTGATAAATTTACGAAAACTAATATTTTACCACAAAAATCCACAAATTTCTACATATTTGACAAATATACTTTTAGTTAGTTTCTGTTAAATTTTACTGTCAAATTGATGAATTGGATAACACGTGCCAGTTGACGGGTGTACCGGTTTGGGGTTTTACTCTCCATTTGTCACGCGTGTACCAGTTCGTGATTTTTCGTGGTATTAATCTAATTTAACGAAAATTAATGGAGGGTAAGTTTGTAATAAATGTATCAGTTTGGGGTTTTTTGTGATCAAAAAATCAGTTTGGGGTAAATTTGTCACTATCAGTTTGGGATTTTTGATGATTAAAAAATTAGTTTTTGGTAAATTTATGACAATGTACCAGTTTGGGATTTTCGTGGTATTAACACAAATAAAAAATATTTGTTGCGCCGGGATTTCTTTGATGAATGTGGGCTAATGTTGACACCTAAATTTCGGCGCATCATTTAGTGGTTAATTGCATAGAAAATTAGGGATTAAATTTTAACCCCTGAACAAAAATATTACAAATCGCATAGCATAAAGTTTAGGTTCATATAGATTAACTGCATTTCGCATCGGATCGGCGGTGGTAAGCGAGCTTAAAATTCATCACGTAAATCGAGCTCGGGCACCGAACGAGACTCGACTCACTCGGAAAGCATGGGCCGAAAATCACACACAAAAGGGCTTGGTTGTCTTAATTTGAGCTTAAATTAGCCCATTATGCTTAATTAAAGAAAAGCCCAAATTAATTCAGCACACTTAGAATTAAATTAAAGCCTAAACCTAAGCCCATTAGGACTAGAAAGCCCGGCTAATTGAGCTAGGTTTATATTATAAATATATGTTTATGTCTCATAATCAAGAGAGGGGGGCTCTCATAATTTTTCAGATCGGATTTTTAGAGAGACATACGAGAGAATTTTGAGAAGAGAGAGAGAGAGAGAAGGAGACCGCCCGCCGCGCTGCACTGCACGCCTGCCGCGCCACCGCCTGCCGCACTACGTCGGAGCTGCTCCGCCCCTCAGCCACTGCAGGCCTGTCGCGCCACCGCCTGCCCGCGAAGCCTCCGTCCTCTCCCCGCGCAGCCGTCTCCCGCCGCGTGCCACCGCCGTTGCACGCACACTGTCGCGCCGCCTCCCCGCGCGGCCGCCGTCTCCCGCCGCGTGCCACCGCCGTTGCATGCCTCGTGCCGCCGCCGCTCCCGCCGCGCTGCCGTCTCCCGCCGCGTGCCACCGCGCCGCACGCCCGCCCTCGCGCCGCCTCCCGCCGCGCTGCCGTCTCCCGCCGCGTGCCACCGCGCGCACGCACACTCGCCGCCGCCTCGTCGCACACCACCGCCACTCGGACGCCCTCGCTCCGCCCGCTCGTGAGCTCGTTGACGCTCGTTGCTGCGCACTGACCGCCCGAGAGAAGCCGCCGCACCGCCGCTCGCCCGGCCAGAATCGCCTGTACCGCCACTCGCGCCGGAGCCGCTCGCACCGCCATTAGCCCACCGCCTTTGTCTTGCCATCGCTCGCACGCACCACGGGAGAGTCGCCCGTCCCGCCTTTGTTGGCCGCCGCCCGGAGACGCCCGCCGCGCCGCCGTTCCCGTCGTGTCACCGTCGCTAGCCACCACTGTTCCCGACGTCACGCCGCCGCTCCCAACGCACCGCCGATCCGCAATCCCGATCCGCTACATATTCAATTTAGGAAAGAAATCTGCAAATCAGGTAATTATCATATCCCGATTTGATTCGAATATTTGGTTGCCTAATTTGTGCATATTGATATCTAATTTTGCATATTTGGATAATAAGCATTATTTCAATTACGATTTTATTTCCTTTTTTTTGAAATCTTGGATATCTATTACTTTTCAAATTTGGATAGAATTTAGAATTTTCAAAATCTTTTGAATATATCCAAGATATTTAAGATATCTAATTTTTTTCAAGATGTGATCGATTAGGAAAATTTCCTAATCCGCAACCGCACACGTGGAAATAAATCTATCTATCAGGCTTTAGATAGAGTTATTTCCATAGCGGGTATTTCGAATTTTAGGATCGATCTGTCAGGCTTCAGATCGAAACTTAATTCGAAAGATTTAGCAGTTATATTTTTTACTTGATTTTAATTTCGAATTTTGATAAAAAAATGCCAAAAAGATTACTCTAGAATAGGTTAATTTCTTTAGTTTAAAATTGCATGTTTAGATAATTGGCATTTTTAATTCCGAATTTCATTAAAGAAAAAATACAAAAAAAATAATATGCCCGTCATTAGAAATAGATCACGTCGTCGCATGACATATAGTTTGCATGTTAGGTTGCATTAATCACATGTCAATTTTCGCACGTCATTACATATAGGTTAGCTTTCCTTTAAATAAATATAAAAAATCAAAAAAGAAAATTTCTGCACCTTTGAACTCTAAGTCAGGATTCATCAAAATTGTCAAATTAAGTATTTTTCTTGAAATTGGTACCGAAAGGGCGTTAGGGAATCTAGCGTAACCAAGTCCCCGAATCCATAATTTCTAGTTCGCAGAAATAAAATAGTACTCCCGCTATTTTATTTAGGTTTCTAATCAATCTACCTTAAATGATTAGTGGCGACTCCCATTGAAAATATTTGCATGCTCATAATTGGACCTAAGGTGCGAATTGGTAGAGTTTGGGAGAACTCGAGCTAGGTTAGTTAATTTAATTGATCTAGTAATCCATTAGCCTAAGATCGGAAAACCCGATTTTTTTTAGGTCGCGACAGCTTGGCGACTCCGCTGGGGAGATTAACTTTAATTTTTTTTTAAAAAAATTTTAAGGAGGACTTAGGCCAAAATTTTTTTTTATGGAAAAATCACTCGATTTGACAAAATTTGATCGGATTCTCATTCTTAGGTGTGAAATGGTTTTGCAGGATGGGAG